GGGGCGGATGCTTCCAACCCGTGCAGCTGTCACATATGTCGACGTTTCAGGTCTTTACGTTTGGGAGAATTCGCACGAGAGTCCCATTTTGAAAACGAATTGCCCTCCCTCGTTGGAGCTGTGGCAAGCTTTTATGACCGATGTGCGCGGCACTACGGTGAGAGCCACGTTTTTGAAACGATCTTTTCCATCCTTGAACCAGGTGCAGACTTTTGAAGAGGCTGCACCGCGAGCCATGTCTGGAAACAGAAAACCCCTCCATCCTTGAAGCTGTTGCTTCTGTGCAGCTACTGTGCAGCTTCTATTCGGATAGGTTCGACTGGGACACGATTTGGGTGCAATGCCGTAGGTTCGTGTTTTGGTCTTCTGGGTTGGGCGCATCGCCTGGTTGGGTGCCTGTGCGTCTTGTCGCTCACGCGTTCGACGATCGTCAAACGATGTTTCCGAAACCTCGCCAAGCGTTCGGCGCACCGCAAGCGCAACCGCAAGCATCTCCAGAGCAGTTCCAACACATGTCCGTTGGGCGCGAACTAGTTGGGGGGCAATAAGTGAGAGGGCTGCGGGGCCCCAAGTGGCCCCTTTAGGGGCCCTGCATGTCCCCTTTTCTGCAGCCCTCGCTGCCCCCCCCATTTATTGCCCTCCCCCATTTCGCGCCCAAATTCAGCGGAATCGAACACGATGCGACCACATCGGCCGAAACCGTGGCCGCGCGAGCCCGATTCCGTTCACGGAGCGGACATCGCCTGAAGTGTTGCAACTTCTAATGCGGAAGCGAGGTGGCCACGCGGGCCCGATTCCGCTCGCGGGCCGAACCTCGCCCGTAAAACATTCACAAACATTTCCGACACACCTCCGGACGTGTCTCCGCGCCGAAAAACATGTACAACACACATCGAAGCATCTCTGGCACATCTCCGCCCCATCCCTAAAGGCAGGTCGCGTGTGGGCTCGTCGCCCTGGCTGGATTCGAGGATGTGGCAAGGGTTCAGCGTCGGCTGTCCGCAGTGGCCAGCTCCGAGGTGTTGGGTGGTCCCTCGGAGGCAAGTTGATGTCGAGGGCGTCGCAGCGTTGGCCGCTGCGTTGGGCGATAGTCTAGCGCACAGCATTCGAAGGCAAACGCTGTTCTCGAAGGATCTCATGCTGGGCGGGGTGCCCTGTGGTGCGCCTGGGCGTCGGGCAGGGCTTCTCTGGGCTGGCTGCGGGGCCGTCGAAACGAGTTTCTCTTCGACCGATCTCCCCAGGCCAGAAGTCGCGTCTTTTGCACAATTTTGAAATCGCGAAATCGCCCCCCCCCCCCCCCCCCGCTGAACCCCTTTTAGGGCGCACGCGCGAGCTGAGCGAGGGTCTAAGGGCCCAAAGTTCTTGCAACCCCTCACGGCGAACTCGTGCGTCGGAACGTCGGAGCCACCCTCCATCCTTAAATTTCGGGGCTGGACAGAACCCCCAACAGTGACACGTCGATTAGTGAATCGTCCGCTTTCGGTTCTCGAGAGGGCGCCGTGGCCGTTATTTTCCAGGCTTGCGCCCGCCAGGTTTGGGCCTCAGGTCGTTTTCACTAAACCACGTTTTACTAAAGGGGGTTCTGTCCATCCCCGAAAATTCTGGACGCCCGAAATGGGTACGGAAAGAATGGGTACAATGTCCAACAGCAGTTCCTGATCATTTTGAACAGGATTCGCTGTCCACGCCGCCGCGGCCTGTGTCCACTCGAGACAGAAGGCCGTCTGCCCAACAGCGGCCGCTGTTGGTTTGGGGCAACATTTGTTGTTGGGCATGGTACCCATCTTTTTGTGTATCAATTCCCGGCGTCCAAATAAGTCTGTTGCAAATTTTCAAAACGAATGTGCGCGGTGCTAATGCGAAATCCGCATGTTGAAAACCACCCTCTCCGTCCTTGCAGCCATTGCAGGCTTTCTGGGCGCATGTGCGCGGCGCTGGTGCCGGAGCCCCATATTTGAGTCGACTTTTGGGCGTTGCGTAATGGGGGGGTCATAAATGGGGGGTTGGTGAGAGTGGTCCGAAAAAGGTACCCAAACGGTACCTAAACGAGCCCCCTGGGGGTCCAGAGGGGCCCGAAAGGGGCACGAAAGGGGACCGTTTCTGACCCCCCCATTTGTGACCCCCCCATTGAGCCACGCCCAAGACTCCCTCCCTCGTTGAGTCTGTTGCAAATTTCGGAGGCGAGCGTGCGCAGTGCTAGTGCGAGCGCCACGTGTTGCCCCCCGGCATTGAGGATGGTGCAGCTTCCGTGCTTCCCTGCCTCAAGCGATGGGAGGGTCTCAGGCCAAACACCGGGCCTGCACTACCAGCACGTCTTGGGTCGGGGGTGGACAGAACCCCCAACAGTGACACGTCGATCAGTGAATTGTCCGTTTTCGGTTCTCGAGAGGGCGCCGTGGCCGTTATTTTCCAGGCTTGCGCCCGCCAGGTTTGGGCCTCAGGTCGTTCTCACTAAACCACGTTTTACTAAAGGGGGGTCTGTCCATCCCCGATTGGGTTGCGACACGGGGGAGTTGCTCGTCACGAAAGGGACGGGGAAGGGAAGGACGAAGGTGGAGGAGGAGGAGGAGGAGGAGGAGGAGAAGGACCGGTCTAAACCCAAGATTCATCAACAAAATTGCAATGAACACTCCTTCCAAGTTCCCTGTCGTAGGCCCCTACAAGGACACATTTTCACTGAAGGAAGTTTCCCGATGGAAAACAACCGTTTGAGAATCATGAACTGTGCCAGAATACCAATCCTGGGACGTTAGCGCCGCGAATCACTGTTATGGTTGCGTCTTAACGATCTTGAATCACACAAAAACGCATTCCTTGGACTCGAAACCACGAATCAACGTAACTGTTGCGCCCTGACAGTCCGACATCGTGCCTCGACACCACTTCTGGGACGTGAACATGAGAATCCTTGAAGCAGTTGTGAACTTTGGGACCGAACGTGCACGGCGCTACGGCGGGAGCCACATTCTGAAGAGGAACCGCCCTCCATCCGTGAAGCTCTCGCACTTTTTGTAAAGAATGGGGACCCAAAGAAAATACACCACCGCCACGTCGATTCCTCCTCTATCCTCTACCCTCCTCTTCCTCTCCTCTTTCCTGGGAGAGGGAGGGGGTGAGGTAGGTGGTGGTGGTGTACATTTTTGGCCCCCCCCACAGGAAACAAAAACGAGTGTGCGCGGTGCTGCTGCGAGGGCCACACTCTGAAAACGACCAGCCCTCCACCCGTGCAACTCCTGCACATTTATCCCGACGATTGCGCGCGGCTTTGGCAGCGAGAGCCACGTGTCACAGTCGACCCGCCCCCCCCATCCGTGAAACCAGTGCTGCGGGTTGCCAAATACTTTCCAGATGTCTAAAGCATGTGTCAGACATGTTTCAAATATGTAAAACACATGATTGACATATGTTTAGAACAGTTTCCGACATTTTGAACACATTTGAAATTTCGTGATAGGATTGTTAGGGTGCCCATTGACGTGGCATCCACAGCACCAGTGCACAGTTTACGGCGAGCGTGCGCGGCGACGCGGCGAGGGCCACACCTCGAACGCGGCCCGCCCTCCATCCGTGCGGGGCCCGTGCGCACTCTCACAGGGTGAGGACGTCTCAGGCGGAGCGCCTGGCCCGCACCGTCGGTCGACCTCGGGGCGCGACGGAAAGGGGGATCGTGGAGGGGGGATCGCCGCGGAGGGGGAAAGGGATCGTGGAGGGGGATCGTGGAGGGGGGATCGTGGAAGGGGGATCGTGGAGACGGAAAGGGGGATCGTGGAGGGGGGGGGAGGACCTGCCAGTTGGTTCCCGCTCGGGGCCGCCGCGGGTGGTCTCCGCTCGGCACCTCTCCCCCTCCCGCTCTGGGGGCGCCGATGGCCAGGAACGCCGGGGGTCGTCGGCTGGCAGCGTCGAGGCGTGCGTCCGCGCGCGGCGCCCCCTTGCCTCAAGACGCGGAGCCGTGGTGCGCACGCTCGCACGTGCGGTTTGTCAGTTGTATATGTTTTTTGTCTGGCTGTCTCTCTCTCTCTCTCTCTCTCTCTCTCTCTCTCTCTCTCTCTCTCTCTTTCTCTATATATATATATATATATATATATATATATATCTATGTCTCTCTTTCTCTGTCTCCCTCTCTCTCTCTCGTTCTCTCTCTCTCTGCCTCTCTGTTTTATCTCTGTGTCACTATCTGTCTCTGTCATTGCCACTCTCGTTCAGTCTGTTTCTCTCTCTCTCTTTTCTTTTTTGTACTCTCTCTTTCTCTCTCTCTCTCTCTCTCTCTCTCTCTCTCTCTGTATATATATATATATATCAGCATCAGACAACTATAGACTAGTCTTTTACGCCTGAAAGCGCTGAAGGCACAATGGCGCAGATCAGCCTCACGCGTCGACTCCAGATTCTACAAGTCAGTAGCCTCCGTGATGCGGCGTAAGAGACTCCCACCCCCCTTCTCCCCCTGGAGCCCCATCCCCGTCCGCCGTCCCCTGTCCTCTCCCCCCCTCCCCGCCCACCCTGCTGTCCCTCTCCCTCCGCCTCGTCGTCCTCCTCCTCCTCCTCAACCAGCCGCCGCTCTGGCACACAGCGTGCGAGGGGCGGCCGCGGCGCAGGCGGGCGGATGGCCCGCAGCGGCGCTACGCGCATCGCGATGGCGCGGCCCGTGGGCCAGTGGATCCTGCGGGCGCTGGGGTACAACCCGATGTTCTGCACGGGCGTTCGACTCCAAGAGGTCGCCATGTCTTGCAGCAGTATGGACGTGGTGATGTTAGCTGGCACGCAGGCTACGCATAGGAAGAATGAGGAAGTTCTCACTCGAAGGATTGGGAAGAGGATCGTGCTGGAGGCCGAGGCGGGCGTGGGCGAGTTCACGAACAAGAGTACAGGCTGTGCTATAGTCCTGGGCCACAAATTCAAGGAGCTGCATGTGTGCAGGACATGACCAAACCCCTCAGGTGCAGAGGGCCGCGGGCTGGCGGCGAGGGTTCGCCGTGGCCCTTTGGATATGGCAGCAATCGTGTTGTACTTACCGCCGCAGCCCATGCATGCTCGCTTGGTCCCTCACTACAAAGAGACGGTCCGCATGTTGACGCAGTGGTACGAGGGAGTCTTACAACAACTACCATGCAAATGTACACCGTTGGTGTACGCAGACCTGAACGACGGCATGGGCATCAGCAGGATCGCGGGCCAGTGGCAGCACGTGGAGCCGCAGTCGATGGGACCAGGCCAAGCTTGAGAGCCACGACGTGGGGGCGCGGGTGAAATTATGAGGATGGTGAACGAACGCCACCACATGTACATGATGAGTTCTCGCAGCCAGACGTTAGAGCACACGTATTACAACGCGTCTGGACACAGCAGTTGCATCGACTACCTTTTCATCCCAGATGGCATGATAGATATGGCACAGAAGTTCTCCCCCTTATTCAGTTTGGGAGCGGAGCTGCAAGCTTTCAAGGGGGCCCCGCCGAATGACCACATCCCAGTCTACATGGAGCTACACGGTATGCAGGCAATTTGCACGGTGGAGACGCTGACACCAGCACCAGAGCGCATGAAGTGTAATCAGGACGACCTTATGCAGTGTCTACGACGAGGGCATCGTCGAGTCGAGTTTCTTGAGAAGGTGGAAGCACGCCTGCATGAGACGGAAGATACGTGGAGGGCCCTGCTGGCCGACGGGAGACCAGACGAAATCTTTCTTCACTTGGAGGACGTGCTGGTAACGATCGGGCAACAGATGTTTGGCCATGTTGTATCTAACGGCCCAGGATACAGGCGAGCTGCGGCAGAACGAACCGAGCTTCTGAAAGAACGTGCTCGGCTACGAAGGTCTAGACATGGTATGAAGGAGGATTCCACGGAGCTGAACGAGTGCGAGGAACAGCTGAAGAGGCCCAGTCAGCGCCTACGTCGAGAACGGCAGCAATTCGATCAGCAACGTCGTGCCGCTCTATTGGATGAGATTGACGAGGCGTGGCAGGCCCGTCGTCTTGCAGAGGCCATGAGGCTTTCGAGGCAGGCGGCGCGACGCCGCTTCGGACCGCAGAGAAGGGGCGGACGGCTCCTGCGGGGAGGCTACTTTACAGAACAGGGGTTGCTCGACCACTGGGGCAAGAAGGGCAGGGAAGGGGGCATGTCGGCTCGTGAGATCGTCTTTGAGGACTGGCTGAACGAAGACCCACCTGGCCCCACCCCCTACATCACGCCCGAGGACTGCGGGCTTGCTCAGAAGGATCAGTGGAGAATCAAGAAGTACTTCAGGGGTGCCAGTAAGAGACGCATGGTGTCATCAGGGGCTCCGTCAGCTGAGATATGGTTGATGTGCATGGACCCAGAGGCTAACATGGGCACCAAGGGGCACGGGGTAGGCTACGAGCAGGTAGTCCCTGAGATGAAGCTGTTTGGGGAGATTCTGGAGGGAGGCCCGCGGATAGTTCGGGCTACGAATCGAACCCCGCTTCGGTGGCGCATCAGTTCTGGATCACAACTTCGGAAAAACCGCCAAGCCAGGACCAGTGGGCCGCAGGGCGGTCCATGTGCTGCCGACTGTTGGGAAAGCTCTCTACTCGGGCCTTCTTCGGGTTCCCCACGTGGTCACGGAGCGCGGCTTTTGTAAAGGCAGACGTCGTGAAGGAGTTATTTTAGTCGCGCAGCTCCTCTGCTGGCGCCTGCGGCGCGCTGGGCGTTCGTTCGCGTTTACATTTAAAGACATGCCCAACGCTTTCGCCAGCGGGGCCTGGGGTGAACTGGACCAGACGGCAGAGCTCCATGCAGAACCACAGGACGTATTTTTGTGTGTTCAACGCTTTCGATGCGGTGTGATCTGGCTAGAGACCATGGAGGGGGGATGTACATCAAGACGGGGGAAGGAGGAACGGTGGGAGACCTGTTTGTCGTGGAGCTCTTCCGTGGAACCTTTGCTCGGCCCATCCTGCAGTGGCTTCGTCGTCTTAGAGATTTTGACAAGTCTTCTGCTGGTTTGGTTGCTAGTTGGAGAGATTTACGGACGTCGGTGGCTGCCTTTACGCCGACGATATTTTTCGAGCCCACGTGGCCCAACCTCACGGTACCGTGGGCAGTTTTTTTTTCGGGTCCTGAAGCAAGCCGACGTGGCCCTTTCGGAGGAGCTGGATGCTATTGGGTATGCACAAAACATCGGGAAGCAGGAGGTTCAGCTTTGCTTTCAGGGACCTGGGGCCTTGCAGTGTCAACAGTGGGCGGGGGTCAGGGCCGAAAACAAATTGCAGGAGATCTTCAGGGGCGCGTCATGAACCTGGGCCCCAAACTTAATATGCTGCTATCTTCTTCAGTGGAGATCGGTCGCATAATTTAAGCGACTGCCGAGTCGTACTATGCCTTGGGCCAGATATGGCCCCTGGAGCTGCCGTTTCGCTGGGCGCGGGCCATGTTCTGAGTTTCGCGCAGAATGCGGCGCTCACGGGTCTAGAACCAATGCTGCTCACCAGTCGCCAATATCGTGAACTCGACCCGCTTCTGGCTCGCCATGGGAGGAGGGCATTACAAGGGAAGGCGACGACGAATGTGGACGGGAAGATTCGGTCGTGGTCGAATAAGAAAGTGATGCAGCACTGGCGCCTCGCTAGTTCTGAAACGGAGTTGCTGGTCAGGCGCTTGGGGTGGTACCGAACCTGGGCCCCATCCCCGAAGAACCCCAGCCAGGAGCTTTGCTTGTTGTTCGGGACCTGGGGCCTGGATGCGGGGTGGGCAACCGCTGCGCGACAGCGCATGTATCCCCAGAGTGGCATCTCCGTGACTCCTTCGACTACAGTCTGACTTTCGGCGTGCAGCAGATGCGCTTGGTGAGGGCGACCTTTGCGCCCACTTTGCTCGCTGTCCAGGCGATATAGTGAACGTCGCTGTCCAGGCGATATAGTGAACGATGATTATCGTGAGTTCAGGACTCGCGTGGACTTTACGGAGATTCGTGCACGCGAGTTGGCAAAGGCGATTCCTCCTTCAGACCTCTACAGGACAGAAACGCAGGATACCCCAGGAGTACTCTGGAGCCCCCTTGGAAGTGTGAATGGGTTTGGGAGGAGGGCACGGTATGTGAACGCGGGTTCCAGACCAAGAGGGACCTCATGAACCATATGCCTCAAATACATCAAGTACACAATTTAGTTGTTACGCTGACCCCTACAAACACGTGCGTAGCGTGTAGACGTGTATTCGCTAGCCAGGATAACGCTTACAAGCGCCTCCAGAGGGCCCTGATGAGTGGTAAGTGTCCGTCAAGGGGTTCGGCAGCGCTCTCGGGAGTTAGGCATCCACCGTCATTGGTATGCAGAGTATGCGGATATCACTCCAGCGATTTGGGCAACTTATGCAGCCATTTGGTCACAAGCCATCTTCCGTGTGAGGCGGGCCCGTCCATATCACCTGCCCGAAAGGCAGATCTCGGAGTATCATTCTCTCCTGGGCCAGCCGGTGCTCATGTCGGAGGTGGTGGCGATCGAGGATGTGCTGGAGCGCCCCGCGTGGCTGAGGGACCCGTCGTCAGGCCCTGCGAGCAAGAAGGGCCGTGGTGGCGACGCAGGAGGCAGCAACGTCAGGGAGGAGGCGAAGAAGGCGGCGCGCGGGCAAGACGCACTGGTCAAGCTGGTGCTCATCCTCGGCAAGCTCGTGCTCACGGACAGCCGCGCGCTGGCAGAGGTGTCGAGCACGGTGTGCCGCACGTGCGACATCTGCGCGGACACGGACTTCGCGGCGACGAACGAGAGTGCGGGGGCGGACTACAACGACCAGTCGCAGGAGCTCAAGGCCAAGGCAAAGAAAGGAGAAGCCGTCGACTTCCAGAGCAGAGGACCGCCCTTCGTGACCATCTTCGCGACGACCATGCACTGGGCGGCCTCGCAGTACAGCGAAGAAGGAGTGAAGCAAGAGCCGTGGATGGCCATTGCTCGAGAGTTCTACAAGGAGTACCTATGCAAGGCGCGGGCGGTACAAGTGGGAGAGCTGGTGCTGCATTGGCAATGGAAGCGCAACAAGAACAAGACGGAGAGCAACCCGAGGGGCAGGTTGATCATCGCCTTCGACACGCAGCGCCCAAAGTATGCGCAGCTGACGCAGACCACGACGGCCCTGCTCGAGACGCTGAAGGCGGAGAGGCGCATCGGGCCCGCGCCGAGGGGCCCACTGGAGCGGGGCGCTTCGAAGTTGCTGGCGGAATCCAAGTAGACGGGCGCAGCCAGGCATAGTAAAAGGAGGTAGAGAGGTAGCAGCAGTAGCGGCAGCAGCTTTTTACAGTCAAGTAGGTTGCCCTTGAACAGCGGACCCGTGTCGGATTCCCGAGGTGTCAGTCACCAACATCCGCTGCGGGCGGGTGAAAGGTTGGCCGACTTAATTCGTAGGGGTTTAGTGTCTTCTGAAGTTTTGAACCCGCGACCCCCCCCTTTGCCCTCAGCTTATGGTTCTGGAGTGTCCAATACCCCGACCATCCAAAGAGAGGGGAGGCCTTCAAGGGCCAAGGGCAGGGGCAAGGGTAAGAAGGGTTTTCGGTAGCACTCTCACTGGTCCCCAAGAGCGGGCCCTCCGTAGGCTGCGTGCCGTCCAGGGGGTGCTCGTAGGGGCGGTGCGGCGTCCGTCTTGAGCCACGGGCCGCATCTGACGGTTTGGCGAAGCACGAGTCGCCCCCCAGAGTTCCCCTCACTGTGAAGGTAGGCGGTGTAGGCAGGCGTCTAACGGTGGCAGTTGAACTCCCACGGGCCCAATCCCAATCCCAATCCTCCTCAACCTCCTCCTCCTCCTCCGCCTTATCCCCCCTTTTTCCTGCTCCTCCTCCCGCCCTTCTGCTCTTCCTCGCCCTCGGCCGATCCGTCTGCCTCCCCCCCCCTGCCCCCCCCCTCTGCACTTCCTCGCCCCCCTTCTGGAGAAGCACCCGCCCCGCGCGGCCGGGCCGCGCACGCTGCCAGGGCGACCTCGGCAGCCTCAGCGCGCGCGTCGCGGCCCTGGAGGCGTCTCTGCAGCTGGCTGCAGCCGCCCCGCGGCCGAGGACCTCCCCGCGCGAGCCGTGCGGCCCCCCCTTCGGGTTCCTCGTGCTCCTCGTGTTCCTCCCTCTCCCTCCTCCCCCTCCCCCCCCCTCCCTCGGGCCCCCCCTCCTCCTTGTCGCCGTCCTCCTCCTCCTCCTCCTCCTCCTCCTCCTCCTCCTGCTCCTCCTGCTCCTCCTCCTCCGCCTCCTCGCCTCCCTCCTTTTCCTTCCCCTCCTCCTCCTCCTCCTCCTCCTCCTCCGCCGCTCCCTCCTCGTTCAACTCCTGACCCTGCTCCTGCTCCCGCTCCCACTTGCTCTCCCCCCTCTCCCCGCTTTCTTCCTTCACACTTTCGCCATCCTGCCCCCCTTCTCCCTCTTCCCCGTCTCCTCTCCTATCCCATCTTCTCTCTGAGGTTTTGTTACCAGTGTGCATCTGCCTTTCTCGCGCGCGGATCTTAGCACTCAGGGTAGGCGTTCGTGTTGATTTGGCAGTTTTGAACGTGATGCTTCCGATCGGTATGTCCTCATTTCTTCAAGCTGGCACTGCCGCCTCGACGCATACTCGATGTCGCCATCGTGCCGCGGGTGAGAGGCTTGTAGATCGTGGCGCCGTATGCCGATTTGGCCAAGGCAGCTGTGGTGCCCTGGCCCACGGACATGTTGTATCCACGCCGGCAAACCAACGTGCTATTCGAGGGCGTCGTGCCGCAGCTCGAACAGCAACAGCTGCAGCAAGGATAATGAAGTGGAATGCTGCTGCTGATGATTATGATGCTGATTATGATGATGCTGATGCTGATGATGATGATGGTGATGGTGATGATGATGTTGGTGCTGGTGCTGGTGGTGGTGATGGTGATGGTGATGGTGATGGTGGTGATGATGATGCTGATTATGATGTTGCTGATGATGCTGATGATAATGACGACGATGACGATGACGATGACAATAACGATGATGATGAGGATGAGGATGAGGATGAGGATGAGGAGGAAGACGATGAGGAGGAGGGCGAATCATAGGACGGTGGTGGTGTTGGTGATGATGAAGGGGGGGGAATGAGGAGGAACGGGGAGGAGGAGGAGGAGAAGGAGGAGAAGGGGAATGGGCAGGGAGACGAGGAACACGGGGGACAGTGAGGAAGGAGAAGACAAGAGCAGGAGGAATGAATGGAACTAGCAATGGCTGGTGAAGAAGGTTCTGCTAGTACAGGCTTTCGAGGCATCTGGGTTCCCCAGGGTTAAGTTCTACAGGCTCCTGAGCGTTCCCCCTGCTGTGGACTTGGGGTGTGATGTGGCGGGGGGCTCTCGTCTGTCGTGCGCCAAGCTCAACCAGCGTCTGAGCACGGGCCGCTCCAGAGGTGCTCGTGCCAAGAAGCTGAGGAAGCACGCATTTCTCGCCAAGGCATCCCAAGGCCTGTGGCTGCAAGGGGCTTTGCCTCAGTCGGTGTATGGGCACCAGGCGATGGGACGTTCCCCATCTTCTATCCCTCAGTTGAGAAGGCAAGCGGCCCAAGCATTGGCTGGTAAGGGCCCAGGGCGATGCCTCACCACCACTCTTGCGATTTGGTTCGGGCACAAGGATCCTGATATCAGTCTGAGGACCCAGCTGGTCCGCTCCTGGCTCGACCTATGGTTATGGTGGGAGTAATGGTGATGGTGGTTGCGATGACGGTGATGCTGCTGATGGGACCGATGATTCGGACGATGGTCACAACGATGATGATGATGCTGATGATGATGATGGGGGTAAGGTTGGTGATGATGAATATGATGGTCTCATAGGTTCGCGTCGTGTCGACTAGCGGCGCCCCCGCCGCCCGCGTTCAACGTGGAACGCCGCCAGCGACACAGAATCGTTCGATGTTGAAAGATCTTTCTTCACGGAAGCAGTCAATCCTTTTAGGCGGAACGACCCCCCCCGTCTCAGGAACCAGCGCCCGGGTCGATACGACACGAATTTGCGGTAGTAGTTATGGTGTTGTGGTTTTTGTTGTTTTATCATTTTCACGTATTAAGGATCATTATTGTTGATCCCCCCCGTAACAGTTTTTTGGCAATTCGAGTGCTTCTCCCAGGGCTCGAACCTGGTTGTTTTACAAGGCAAAGCGAGGGGTCACCAAACTATGCCCTTGGCCCCCGGTTTACATCAACAACATCAAAGACAATCATTTACGACTGTTCGCGGTTATCTGCTCGAACGTCCGCTAACGCGCATTTGCCAAACCCTCGATACCCGCCCTCTTCGTCTTCGATCGTACCTCTTTTGGGGAGTATACCTTTCTTCCCCGCAGGCCAGGCCCCGGCCAGCGGCGGGGCGCCCGCGGACCGTCGGCCTGGCGAGCGGCAGCGCTGATCGGCGGCAGCCCGACCCCAAGAGGGACGGACAGGGGACCGACCAAGACGACGACGACGACGTCGACGAAGACGGCGACGACGACGGCGGCGACGACGACGAGCGAAAGCGAGAGCGAGAGCGAGAGCGAGAGAGAGAGAGAGAGAGAGAAAAAGAAAACGAAAACAGGGCCACGAAGGGCACGAAGTAGACCACGAAGGGCGACGGCGGGGACACGGAGCGAATGCGTATGGGGCCACGACGGGCGCGAACGAGCGGGGGCCACGAAGGGCAGATTATGCGGGGCCACGAGAGGCGACGAGGGGACCACGAGGGGCTGCAACTGGGCCACCTAGGACAGCGAGGGGGCCAAACAGGGCGACAGCGGGGCCACGAAGGACACGCGCATGGGGCCACCGCGGGCGCGAGCGAGCGGGGGCCGCGAAGGGCATGCGCATATTGGGCCGCGAAGGACAAGGACGGGGCCACTGAGGGCAGCGACGGGGCCACGAAGGGCAGCGAGGGAGCCGCGAAGGGCGGCCACGGGGCCACGAAGGGCATGCATATGAGGCCATGGCGGGCGCGAGCGAGCGGGGGCCACGAACGGCATGCTGATATGGGGCCGCGAAGGGCAGCGAGGGGGCCACGAAGGGCTGCAACGGGGCCGCGAAGGGCAGCGAGGGGGCCACGAAGGGCTGCAACGGGGCCACGAAGGGCAACGAGGGGGCCACGAAGTGCTGCAACGGGTCCACGAAGGGCAGCGAGGAGGCCACGAAGAGCTGCAACGGGGCCACGAGCGAGATCCCGATTCCGAAGTAATCGGTGAGGGAGTCCTGAGCGTGAGCGCGACTCTTGGGTGGTTGAGTGTCGGGAGCGCAGCGCTTGGGTAAATTGCGGAAGCTTCCCGACGCAAGGGCGCTAATGTTCAGTAATTTGCCAGCAATCTCCAGCGAAAGCGCGATTCCAAAGCGCCCATAGAACGATTCCTGAATAAATAGTAAGGAAGTCCCAGGCGAGAACGCGATTCCGAAACAAAATGCGAGGAACTCTCAGGCGGGAGCGGGATTGTTGGCTAAATTGTGATGGAGATTCCGGTGAGAGCCGTTGTTGAATTGTCATTTCTGAATAATTGTTGTTGATCCCCCCTGTCCGGTGCCCATTGGTTTTTTCAAGTGAGGTGCTTCCTCCGGGGCTCGCACCCTGTTTTTGACAGGGAAAGCCTTGCGGATCAGATTGCGTTGTTGGGCCCCAGACTACAACAACAACGGCTCCCGCTTGAGACTTCCTCACAATTTACTCAGGACCCCCGCTCCCGCCTGAGACTTCCTCAAAATTTACTCCGGAAGGGCGCTCCCACTTCAGATTTTCTCACATTTTACTCAGAAGCGGCGCTCCCGTTTGAGACTTCCATAATCAGGACCCCTGCTCCCGCCCGAGACTTCTTCATAATTTACTCAGGAATGGCGCTCTCGCTTAGGACTTCCTCGCAATTTATTGCGGCATCGCGTTCTCGACGCTCAGGAACCACGCTCGCGCCAAGGACGCCTTCGCAGTTTACTTAGGAATCGCGCTCTCGCTTAATACTTCCTCGCAATTTACGCAAAAATCCGTTTGAATGTCCCGCCCGCCCGACCCGCCCGTCAGGGTCCGCCCGCCCGACCGGCGCTCCCGCCTGAGACGTCCGACGATGTACTCGGGACCCCCGCTCCCACCCAACTCTTCTTGAGGAATACGCCCTCGCCTAGGACTTGGTCGAACGTTCACACTCTTACCCTCCTTCCCCTTCCTCCCCATCCAACCTCCCTCCTCCCTCCCCTCTCCCTCATATCCACCCTCCTCCTCCCACTTCCTCTCTCCCCTCACCCTCCTCCCATAACCCTCCTCCCTCCTCTCTTCGCCCTCCCCTCTCCAGCCTGCTCCTTCCTCACTCCTCTGTCTCTCTATCTCCAATCGTCCCCCCCCCTCCTCGCCCCCTCTCTCCTGGCGTGTTCCCCTTTAGCCTCGTCCCTCCCCCTCCCTTCCTCCCACTCTCCCTCGTTCTCCCCCTTCCTCTTTTTGCAGGGCCCGCGCTAATTCCAATGGTGGGCAAAGAGATGCGTGCCCCAACCTCCGAATAATTCCCCGCCCGTTCACGCCCGCTTGTCTAAGCCCGCCCGCCCCGGCAAAAAGAAATTATCCCCCCAGAAGGGGGCACGCTCGAAGACGAAGGGGGCGGGTATCGAGGGCGTGGGTATACACGTTGCATGGCACGCGGGCAAATAACACCGAACAGTCTTAACATGATTGTTGTTGTTGTTGTTGAACATTATTTATTCTAAAGAATAATTATTGTTGGGCCCCCTGGTGCGCGCCCCCCCTGCGCCGCCTAGGCCGCAGCTACATTTTCATCATTTTCGTGAGGAAGCCTCAGAAAAGAGGGTGTGTACAGGATCCGGTTGTTTTGTTGTAATCCGCTTTCCCTTGCAAAAAACAATAGAAAATGACATTTCTTGTTCTAATATAATCAAATTTCAAGAATCCCTTGCAAAAAATAAGGTAAAGTGGACATTCGCGCGCGCAAGACGAAATCCTTCCAAAACCTTAGTGTTCGCAGCGATTTTAACATAAAAACATCAAAAAACCAATGGTTTTTCAACAAAAAAATTGTCAAAATCTCATCCCGCGCGCTCTTGCGGATTCGTAGGAAACCC